TACAGTCCATGGCTTATCACTCGGTAAGTCACAAAGCATCATCGTTCCCATTTCATCTAATAGAGAATCGATACGAGCCTCACGAATGTCATTCACCTATCGCACATTGAAAAAAATCAATAAAGAATGATTAAACAATCAATGCTTACAGCAATGGTATCACAGTGTTGATGTACTGTATGAATACTGATGAGTTCAAAAAGATAACATAAAGCAGAGTCTTAGGCTATGTTCATACACGGCAGCTAACGGTTAGCAGGATCCAGATCACAAACATACACACTCACCCATGTGTTCATACAAGAAAATCCCCGATCCAGATAAACCGTTGACGTATCTGAATCCTGGTAACTTTTAGTGCTATCCGATCGGGCGTTCACACGCGGGTGCTAACAGTTAGCTACCAATCTGGATACTAGAGCTCTCGTGTGAACCTGACCTTAGGTACATTTAATAAGTAATGGGTGCCATTTATTATTCAATTTATTCCCAAACAGAAAGCCACTGAAACTGCATAAATGCATTAAAATTGATATGATTAGATAATAATAAAGAACAAATTAACTTAAACCCAAAACAAAAATGGATATAGGAACAATATTCAAAAAAGTCTTTCAAACACTACTTTATAAATACCTCTTTCACCAACAATGCCAAGTCTCTCAAAGCTTTTCTGATGCTGTGGAAATAGGCTTCAATGTTGAGAGATGTCCAGGATAAGACTGTGAGACCAGGTTGGATAATAAGGTCCACTTTCTTCAAATGTGGTGCCATTACAGCTTGGAATATAGATGGAATTTCAGCACGCAGTGCAACATTCTCTTCTAGAAGGGACTACACAATGAAAAGGGAAAAAAATTTGTCATTTATTTGCTATTACAAGAACTATCTTTTCCTAAATCAAGAACAAATTATGCTTTTGTTATTCATCATCATCCTACCAAAATCTCATTCCTATCATAATCAATATTCCAAATATATTCCAATCATTAATATCATCCTCATCATTCATTATACAATATCATCCCAATTTAAAAAGATTATCATTCAACTAAAATCATCATTATTACGGTTATTATAATTGAAACTATGCAAATACATCATCATCATCCATATTTTCTTGATTACTCCTATTACCATCCATGAGAATATTATCAGCAATGATTGAAATGCTGATAAATTATTAGTATCCTATAGATCTATACTTGTGATCTACTCTTTTTATAGTCAATTCCCATTACCTTCAACATATCACAATTATTCCTGAGTTTTTCTTGGGATAGACAAATAACATTGGCAGCAGATGGCACCTCTAACTCAAGTTTATGCATACATTCTGCTTCCCTGATCACTTGTAGCAGCATGGGATCAAAGTTCACTAGAAGCACATTGGTTTCTGGATGTCTGACTAACAAAGATGCTTGTAGGCCTAGTGAAAAATACATTGAAGTATTATTTGAACAATACAACAACAAGCAACTACTGATTATGGTAATGGCAATGTACAAAAACAGAAAGGGAAATATAAATTTACACAGATTGTCAAGTACAG